TTTTTAAATCTTCATCTGAAACTTATTAGTCGTCTTCATAACCTAACCTGATCTATATTCATTACATTGTCTGAATAAAGTAAAATATAATTATTTTATTCCAAATAACATAATTCAGTTCAAAATATCAAAAAAAAAAAAACATAACTGAACGAAACTGTGGAAGTTGTTGAAATAAAAATGGCTTCACAACTGCTGTTTGCAGTTGTGAAGACAAATATACAAGTTTAATTCTTCCTTCTGTAACATTTTCGCGAATAAAATGATGTCGAATGTCTATGTGTTTGGTTCTTTTAGTTTCATATGTATTTGCCATTTTAATTGTTGACTGGTTATCTTCAAAAACTGTTATGGGAAAAATATCAATTTTACAAATTTCGGACAATAACTTTTCCAAAAATAAACATTCGGCAACACAGGCAGACAGTGCAACATATTCTGCCTCTGCACTTGATAATGTAACAACTGACTGTTTCTTTGACTGCCAAAAAACAAAGTTCTTATTGAATCTAATAGCTATTCCACTAATACTACGTCTGTCTTTTGTGTCATTTGCATAATCAGCATCTACATATGCATCCACTATGGTATTTTTTTGATTACTTTGTACATATTTGATTCCAAACATTTCAGTTCCTTTTAGATACCTAAGTACATTTTTCAGATGTATCCAGTGTTCTTGAACATAGCAATTTTGAAATTTACTGAAATATGTTATTGGAAAACATATATCCGGCCTAGAACCTAGCATAAAATACATCAAACTACCTATTAATTCTTTATAAGGACATTTGAAATCTTCATTTTTCACATTGTCCAAGTTCAATTTTTTTTGCATAGGTATATTTGCACTTTTGCAATCTGACATATTAAATTTCAATAGAATCTTTTTAATTAATTCTTTCTGTGAAATGAAAATTCCATCATCCATTATTTTAATTTCCAAGCCAAGAAATTTGAAATTTCCTTCAATGGATAAGTCATCACTCATTTTAAAATGTTTCTTTAAGTAACATTTTATGTCATTGAGTTCAAATTCACTATCTGACATGATGATTAAATCATCAACCCAAACTAAAAGAAATGTGTTATTACGAAAATATATACAGGGCTCTGACTTGGACCTATTGAAGTTCATATTTTCCAAATGTTCATTGAGTAGATCATTCCAGCATTTTGGAGATTGACGCAAACCATAGAGTGATCTCTTTAGTTCACATACATGATTTGTTGGATAACCTTTCAATCCATCTGGCTGGTACATGTATACTGGTTCCTTCAGATATCCGTTCAAGAATGCTGACTTGAAATCCAGTTGAATAACTTGTAGTTTTCTCTCAACTGCTAATACAAGAAGGATTCTCAATGATATCATACGAGCTACTGGAGCATATACTTCTTCTTCAGTGGGTTCACTTCTGAAACCACGAGCCACCAGCCTAGCTTTTTTTCGTGTTTCATCTCCAACTTGCTTTTCACGGAATATCCATCTTGAATCTATGATAGTTTTTCCAGCTGGTTGGGGAACTATTTTCCAGGTATTGTTTTCTTTCATACTGAAGAGCTCTTCTTCTATAGCTTCTTCCCATCCATTTCCTTGTTTCATGGCTTCTTCGAAAGTAGAAGGAACATCTGATACAAGATGCCCTGCTGATAGAGCAGTCATGAGACTGAGATCATCAACATTCAGTTCAAAATCTTTCAAGTTCTTGGGTTTTTGTTTCTTTCTTTTACTCTTCCGGAGTTCATCTTGATCTTCATCCTCTTGTCCTTTTGTTGTCTGTGTTTCATTCTCTTCAACTTCATGTTGTTCAGGTTTTTGCAAGTCAGCTTGGGAAGTTTCTGTATCTTCTTCTTTTGTTATTTTCACATTACTTACTGTTGACTCTCCTGGAAGTTTTTCAAGACTGGTTTCATCAAAGACAACATTTCTGGCGTGAATGATTTTATTCTGTTCAAAATTCCACAGTCTGTACCCATTTGGAGCATAACCCATCATTAACATAACCTCACTTCTCTTGTCAAGTTTCTTTCTCTCTTCTGCTGGCACATGAGCATATACTTTGCTTCCAAATACACGCATATTGCTCAAATTTTCTTCGGTTTTGTACCAAATTTCTGAAGGAGTTCTCTTGCCATCAATTGCTGAGGATTTCAGTCTATTAATTGTATAGACAGCTGTCCTCATGGCTTCGCCCCAAAATTGTTTGTCAACACCAGAATCAAATAATAAACATCTAGTCATGTTTAGAAGTGTGCGATTGTATCGCTCACAGATTCCGTTTTGTTCTGGGTTTCTGGGAACAGTATACTGCATTTGAGTTCCATTATTCTTACAGTGATTTTTGAATTCCATGCTTATGTATTCACCACCATTGTCTGACCTTAATCTTTCAATTTTGTTTCCAAATTTTGCAGTGGCCATGGCTTCATATTCTTTATATTTCTCAAATACTTCTGATTTGCTCTTCATCAAGTAACATACAGTAAACCTTGAGAAATTATCAATGAATGTTACATAATATTTCATACCATCATGTGTCATAGGTGTGACAGGACCACCAACATCTGTAGAGACACATTCAATAATACGCTTTGCCTTCTTTTCATCAGGAAGCTTATGGAATACTGATTTGGTTTGCTTTCCTTCCATACAAGTTTTACAGACAAGGTACAAGGATGAATGTCCCATACGTCTATGCCATATTATGTTATTTGTACTAGCTACATTTGCCTGATGAGTCTGATTTAGTTCCAGATTTATTATGAACAGGTTCCCTTGTAGCTTACCAGTAACAATATTCTGTGAGTTCTTCAATATTTTAGCCTTTTCGTCTTCAAATGTCACTCTGAATCCTTGTTGTTGGATTCGTATGACAGAAAGCAGATTATGAGCTAATTCCTTGCATTCAAAAACATTCTTTAGTTCAATTGGAAGTCCATCCTCATTTTTCAGATACAATGTTCCACATCGTTGAGCTGTTATAACCTGTCCTTTCTTGGCAACATTAATTTGTAGATTTACTTCATTCACATTTACTAAATGTTTCCCAATAGATGAGTTGACCAGGTGATTTGTAGAACCTGAGTCAATGATAAACTTCACCATATCTGATTTTTGAGAAAGAAGTGATATGTTTACATTTCCATCATTAGCCAAAAAGGTTATTTCAGTTCCTGAAGATGTAACATCTTCACTCACATAACTTTTAAAGTCTTGTGTCTGTGCTTTCTCTCGAGGACAATCAGACTTTTTATGTCCCTTCTGCCCACAACCATAACATTTGAACTTGAATTCCAATGAATCAATGCCAGTACTGCCAGTGGAATTTTTCTTCTTTTTGTTATGCTGCATTCTTCTTCTGTTTCCATAGAACGCAGACGCTTCTTCGTATTCTGTCTTAGTTCCCTTTTGACGTGTTTCATAAGTCAATAATTTGTTCTTGACAAAGTCATATGTCAATTCTTCTGGGTTTTTACAAAACAGTACATCGAGTGACGTAACCACGGCTTGGTAAGATTCTGGCATGGCACATAACAATTGAGTGACAACTTCACTATTGTCGATGGTGGCACCACTAGCACGGAGGTCACCAACTAATTTCTCGAATTCGCACAGAAAATCACTCAAGGACGAACTTGCTGTTAACTGCATGTTTCGAAGTTTTCGCTGCAGATTTACTTGCACTGAGATTCCAGTTTTCATATACGTGCTTTTCAAGGAAACCATAATTTCTTTCGAAGTTTCCTTATCCTTGATGACATCGAGCACATTATCTGAGAGACATTGCACTATTATATTTCTTGCTTTCACATCCAATTTCATGTAGTCATCTTCCGTCATTCCAGTACTCCTTGCTAATAGGGCTTCCAGGTATCCTTTCTGCTCTAGACATAGCTTCAGTCTAAATTCCCAATTAGAATATCCCTGCCCATCAAACGGCTTGATGTTATGTACATATGCATTAGACGCCATTTTCTTTTTTTTGCTGCTTCCCGTCGAGAACACTCAAACTTGTAGCAATATTGTGGCAATATTCAACAACTTCACCAGGTAGCCACTTTCCGCGTTTACTAAACAATCTGGGCCCATAACCTGAACGAAACTGTGGAAGTTGTTGAAATAAAAATGGCTTGAAAACTCTTAAGAACTGGTTTTAATTCATTATATAAAACTGATCACACCTGTGCATCTACACATGTCGCTCTGCTCTACTACTACTGACATCGCACAGTAGCACAAAAATAGCTGTCAATATTAGCGGGAAATACAAATAGAAATGACCTATTCTACAATAACCAACCAATTAGACAGTGACAGAGCATTTGACATTAGCCTACTGCAATACTGGTACTGGTGGGGTCGTTTGCACGTCAGCAACTAGTCCCTAATGGGACTTTTTTGCAAACCCCAAAGTGTTTTCAATGACTAATGTGGTTTGCTTAAGAGAGCTGGCTAACATCCTTTTCAGGCACCGCCCATCAGCTCTCTTTCAGAGTTTTTCGGCTGTGTTTTGTAGACTAGTGATGTACTCACTACCATATGCGCAGTGGCAGGCCTGCTAGCTATCCTCGTTAACCCCCGTCTGAGACCGAGGTCCACTAAGCAGCTGGCATGCTCTCACGCTCAGCTGGTAGTTTTCCACACCCACCTACATACACCGTCCTACTTCTTCTCTGATGCTCACAACCACATCATCATATCTTTCTGCGTGTTCTGTGTAGGCTTTGTTACTAACTCCGTGCGCCACTTCAGGAGCAGCACTGTTAATTGGAACGCAACAGCAAATCGTGCAGGACTTATCCCCAGCCGATGCTCCAAAACTTTACAATATTTAATTCGTAAATAAAATATTGAAAAAATTGCTTGCTCGTGCTGGGACATTAGCCTAAACATGGCGGCTGCCAGCCCGTTGTCGTCACTGTGCTAAATGCAGTCACTGTAAATCTCAGTCGCATATACCACCGGTTCGTGTTTGATCCTCTCCTCTCTGTTGCAGGCCTCATCCACTCGTCCGGCCTAGTGAAACGCAAACACCTCATCGCCTCCGAAGACGCTAAAGTAGTGGCGAGTCTGCGCGAAGCCGGCGCCATCCCATTAGCGCTCACCAACGTGTCGGAGCTGTGCATGTGGTGGGAGAGCGCCAACAATGTGCACGGCAGGACGAACAACCCGTACGACGGCAATCGCATCGTGGGCGGGTCCTCGGGGGGCGAAGGGTGCGGCCAGGCGGCGGCGGTATCTGCTTTCGGTCAGTACCATAAATGGGCTTATATCACAAAGAATTTGTATTTCATAATTCGATAGAACTCACTCAAACTAGCCCACCACCGCAAACCGTTTCTTGCTGTGAGCTCCCTACGTTTTATAAAAAAAATATTGAAATCCCCGATTTTTCGGACCTCTGAAAACGAGGCGATGATGTGACGTCGAAACCCTAATACTGAAACAAGACTATTCCAGACAGAGATGAATGATACATGATTTCTGACAGAGTGAATTAGCGCGAGATCACAGTTGAAAGAATTATTATATCAGTTGCCTCAGTCTCCGTGGGGCGTTTGGTATTTTCTTCTAATTATGGCGAGATGAGGTTTCTACGTCATGAGAGGGTCCGTTTTCAGAAGATACCATTATTTATGTCCAAAAATAAAACATTCCAGTTAATTTTTCGATAGAATTATGTCGTCAATCATCATTTATGTATAAAAGAATTATTATAAACATGGTTTGAGTTGAAACCTAGAGTGTACCTTGGGGGGGGGGATATAATTTTTTTTCAGAACATTTTTATTCAAGATTATTGCTAACTACAATAATTTTGAACATAACAAAATTAAATCTAAGCGCCTTGGTTTGAGAGCAGTTTCTTCAACAGATACGACTACCTCTCTATGAATTGATGGCAAGTCCATTAAGCCTCACTTGGGCGGTAGTGTTCCTCAAATAGGTTTTGATGCGTTTCAAAGTAGAGCAGGTTTTTCCTGGTGTCGCAGTGGACAGTGGCAATGTACAGAATATTTTTAAAAGTTTATGCACATACAAATCTCCAAACGGGCCAGTGCCTGAGGTTTGTTTCTGATTTCCAAACATTTATTCAAATGTTCATGCCACATTTTGATCTCGGCTTTGATGATAATTTTAGGAATATCAGTTAGATATATATCCAGTAGTTCATCATACTGATTTCCTGAATCAGTTGCTTATTGGCCTGCAGCTCCTACTGATGTTGGAGATAATAAGTTCATAAATTCGCTCAAAATGTCATGATTTGCAAATCTCTCTTCCAGTTGGTTGATGTTGATCAAAAGTTTGACCTTTTTATCTTATCTTTGAATTTATCCAATAGGGGAAAATTATATGATAGTGGCGGAGTCCAAAGTGTTTGGATTGTTTTATCTGGAACTGCACCGTGCTACCGTGTAAACAATTTCCAATATCTCCTGGATGGATTTGTTCAAGAGATTTAAAATGTTTATTGGGAGAAATGGAAGCGGAATTTTCATTCAACTCCAACTGTATCGGCAAATCACTTCCATCAGTTCCAGTTGCTGATGTAGAAGCCACCCTATCATCATCATCATCATCATCATCGTTCAATTTTCTTGTGAATAATCTAGAAAAATTACTTTTGTTTCATCATCATCTAATTATACGCTAGGTGTAGGTAACTGGTAAACATTGAACACTCAAACAACTGCACCTCTCACTTCTTATCGTCAACTCATGAATAAATGAACTGACTGAATAATATCGGGGAATCACAGCCCAAGGCCGAAAATCCCAGCGAGAGAACATTCGACCTACACTGAAAAAACATGCTTGCACTATTCGCAGAAATGTTGACGTATTTCTGTGGCATATTCATAATTGACCAATTTGGCTACACAGATCAGTATCTAATTATTTGAATGATGAAACTGAAAGAATAAGAATATTTCTGATCATTTATGGCCAAGTGGAATGTAATGATCCCACCAGAGTTCAACCCATCTTATTCTCACTTCATAAGTTTATAACTGATGTTTTTCTATCAGCATATGGGCCATGGGGGGGATATATCCCCCTTATCCCCCCCCGTAGGTACGCCACTGGGCTAGAGTGTGGAGTCACGCAACTGTCTCACACAATTTTCAAAGCTGTTTTGTCATGGCTAAACAAACTCAGAACCATGGATATCACGCGCCTTCCAAAAATATGTTTTCTTAGCCTTTTACAGCTCGATAGTACTGATTATAGATACAATTGGGCACTACAAGTGAAAGAATATTTCGTACAACTAGATCGAGAAGATATAGCAGCAAACTTTCTGGAACTCAATTTGCAAAGAATGAAAACAGTAATTCTAGACTCATATAAAACTTTTCTATTGCGGAATGACAAAAACAGACTATCTCATTTAGAATACCCCAAGCTCTACAATTTTTCACCAAGTGAAAGTGGTTTATTCTACCTCAAATTACCGTTGCCGATACACATCATCAGACTAATTTGTCAAGTACGAACTTCCAATAAATACTTCATCAATTTCACAATAAACGGTTTCTCGTACATAATTGAAACAAATGAAATTTGCACTATTTGTATTTTGATTTCAAACGAAACTATCGAGCATATTTTCTTTGAATGTTCTTTGTATGAGAGTGCCAGTATTTCTTAGACCTGAAATTGGGAGCTTAGACGATCTACTTGGGATACTTGATGCAGGTAACCCAAAATATCTACGAAAACTGACCTATTTCATAACAGGCTTTCTGAAGATACGCTCATTCATCCTGGACGAAAAGCTAGGTATACAAAAGCCATTATATTGTAATGATATTCCCCTTGGAGGGGCTTTAGAAACATCAGCAGGAAGGCAGGAGTACAACGATCATCCTGTATCACGCATACCAGATTGCTCTCCTACCTCCCAATGCACTAGCATATTTCCGAACACTCAATATATGCCGCGGTGACAGATAACGTCACAGAAGATTCTGGAATGTTCTGGAAACAATCGATGGAACAATTAGAGAGAGAGGTTTGTTCTAAGAAGCTTCTAGAACAAAAAGAAGGAGACAAAAGATCATTCGAGAAGGTTCTCGAACCAAAGCCTGTCTAGTTATCTCATATATAAACGGCCGAATAACTGCCGTCAGTCAGTCGAGCAGCGAGTGTCACAGAGACAGCTATATACCGCGTGATATAAATCGTTTTACATAAATAGTAGTTATAAGTTCGTTATAAATTAGTGTTTCTATAGTTCAAATAAATCAGTTCGAAAATAAATAGTGTTGTGTTCGCTTCTGCACCCGAATAACGTAACAATTGGTGTCAGAAGTGTGGGATATTCCAGTGTGAAGTGAACAGACCGTTGCAATGAAGAAACTACACGAGTTGAAAGTGGTGGACTTGAAACGCGAGTTCGAGAAGAGAGATCTCGACACAACAGGGATCAAGACTACACTTCAGCATCGTCTCAAAGAGTATATGGTGAGCGTAGGTCAAGATCCAGAGATGTTCACCTTCGAGGAACCAGCTTCAGCGGAATCGATGTTGGCTGGGATCTCGGAACAGATAGTGGCTCAGCAGGAAAAGATTACGGACCAGATAGCGGCTCAGCGACAGGACATTGCGGACCAGATGGTGGCCCAGCAGGAGAAGATCACGGACCAGATAGCGGCTCAGCGACAGGACATTGCGGACCAGATGGTGGCTCAGCAGGAGAAGATCGCGGATCAGATGGTGGCTCAGCAGGAGAAGATCACGGATCAGATTGCTGCTCAGCGACAGGATATAGCTGAGCAGATGGCAACTCAGCGAGAAGAAGTTCTGGCACAAATTACTGCTCAGCAAAATCAGATCGCATCGCAGATCTCAGCTCAACGGCAAGAGGTATTGGATCAGATATCGGCTCAACGGGAAGAGATATTAGCTCAGAAAGGAGTACTTGCTCAGTTTTCTGCTCAGCAAGATCAGATTGCCTCTCAGATATCTGCCCAACGAGAAGAAGTATCGACCCAGATATCAACACATCGGGAAGAGGTTCTGACTCAGATCGCTGCTCAGAAAGAACAGATCGCATCTCAGCAGGATAAAATTATAGCTCAGGTATCAACCCAATTCACCACCCAGATAGAAGAAATGAAGAAGGAGCTGCAGCTCGAAATAGAAAGAATAGCTATGCTGGAGAAGTCTGAAAATGGTCAAGGACTCATGATTGAAACCACAGTAGGGCCAGATGCAGTGAGTACCACCAATCGAGTAAAACCACCTACATTCGATGGAAAAACATCGTGGCCGAACTATCTGAAGCAGTTCGAAGCAGCTTCCAAAGCCAATGGGTGAACATCCAAGGACAAGGTTGTGGCTCTGACAGTAGCTCTACGGGGTGATGCTTTGAACATCTTGCCAGCCATTCCGGAAGGTGAAGTCGATAGCTACGATCATCTCGTCAAACGTCTCGACATGCGATATGGCCATGAACATCTGCAGCAAGTGTTTCAATCACAAATGAAGAGCCGTCGACAGAGAGCCAACGAGAGTCTTCAAGAATTCGAGGTGGATGTAGCCCGATTGGTCCACTGTGCCTACCCGTCAGCCCCAGAGTCCCTTATGGAATGTCTAGCTGTTCAAACGTTCGTGGATGGATTGCGGGATATCGAAATGCAGAAAGCAGTTCGCCTGACTCGACCAAAAGACCTCACCAGTGCTCTGGCAGCTGCGCTTGAGATCGAGGCCGCAGCAGAAGCTTCCCGAGGATCAGCGAGAGTCCGAGCAATGAACGATAGCGGAAACATAGCGGAAAATACCAGACAAGATCCTACTGAAGCCTTAATCAACGCCATCCAGGGCCTCTGGAATAAGAAGAGGAGACCGGTACGTTGTTGGAATTGCGGGGAGTTGGGCCACCTCCAGAGAGCTTGTAAACGTGCGAAACAGGCTGCTGAGGAAGGATCATCTTCCACGCAGCCGCAGGAAAACTAGAGCGGGTCGACTTCGTGGGGGCAGCTTCGACCCGTAATTCTCAAGACCCTCTCATCTTTGTGGCATCCCTACGGCGTGATAACAGCAGCATTTACGTAGATGGACTGATCGACGGAAAGAAATGCGCATTGTTGGTGGATACTGGTGCATCGAAGACAATCCTGCGACGTGGACTTCTGACGTCTTCAAGAAAGCAACTTCTGAA